TTAATCACAAGGCTCCTTCTCCACCACTGCCTCAGAGAGGCGTTTTATAGACATCCTGTCTCTGATCTCGCCTCCTGGGAGCAGGCCTAGAAATGACAGTCAATTCATTTGCTAACTGGTATATTGCTGTCTCTCTACTTTGCTTCTCAACGTCCATCCAACCACAGTGTTCGTGCTCTGGCTGCCTCTTCCAGGCACTTACACAAGCGAGTGACCAACCGCTGACCAGATTGCAAAAGATAACAATTAGATTGTGTCTCTGTTCATGGGCTGAGCTGTACTACAGAGGTTGTGGAGCTGCCTTCTGCCAGATCCTGGCTTATAAATGTACAGGAAGTACAGCTGACCGTGCCAAGTGTTCAAAGCCTGGGCAATGTCAGTCCTTTGGGTGCTGACTAGGGTCTGTCTCAGCACTTACAGAGCCCCCGTCTGCCTCCATCTTGGTGCCTACAGGAAATTTGTCTTTGGCTATGCAAGCATTTATGTGGCATGAATTCTGAGACCCCAGGAAATCCCACCTATCTACTCCCTAACTTATTCTGCCATGCCTGAAATCGCTTTAATCACCCACACTTCCATTGATCAATTAGAGTCAAAGTTATAAAAACTCTAGGAACCGTTAAATTTTGTAAATGTAAATTCTTTATTGAAGCACAGCATACATACATAAAAGTACACAAATCATAGGTAGAAATGAACCACTCATGTAGTGAATGCCAGGGTCAAGAAACATTTCCCCAGAAGCCCCGTCCCGCCACGGCCTCGTGCCCCCTTCCAGTCACCTCCTCTATACCCATCAGGGAAATCATTATCCTGACTTGTCACAGATAGATTACTTTTCCTTTTGTCTTTTATATGAATAGGATTGTGTCATATGTATTCTTTTGCATATACAATGCTTCTTTTGTTCAGCCTTACATTGATGAGATTCATCTGTGCTAATGCATGTAGTTGTAGTTTGTCTGTTTTTATTGCTGTATAGTATTCCATTGTGTGAATAAGTCGTAATTTATTTAACTATTCTAATGCTGCTGAACATTTGGGTTGCTTCCAGTTTTTGGCTTATAAATAGTGCTAGTGCTTTCTAATTCAGGTCTTTTGATGAATATATGTTCACTTTTCTGTTGAAGGTATTCTGAGGAGTGGAATATATGAGACATAGAATATACCCACATTCAGCATTAGCAGATACTACTGAACACCTTTTTCAAGGTGATTGTACCAATTTACACTCCCATCAGCAGTATATAATAGTTATAGTCATACGACATCTCCATCAGCACTAAGTCTGTCTTTTCCAGTTAGCCATTCTCGTAGGTGTGTAATGGTGTGCATTGTGTTCTTAATTTTCATTTCTCTGATAACTAGTGAAGACAAGCCCTTTGTTTTATGTGCATTGGCTATTTGGACATCTTTTTTGTGAACTGCCTATTCAAGTCTTTAGCGAATTTTTCTATTGGGTTTCTGCCTTTTACTTATTTTTAAAGTTCTTCATATAATCTGACAATTTGATAAATGTGTCTACTGTAATATTTTCTCCCACTCTGTGACTTAAATTTTTTTCTTTTTTTTTTGGCCACGATGCATGGCATGTGGGATCTTAGTTCCCTGACCAGGCATCGAACCCGTGTCCCCTGCAGTGGAAGCATGGAGTCCTAACCACTGGACCACCAGGGAATTCCCCTTAACTTTTCATTTTTTAATAAAGTCTTTTAAATGAACCGAAGTTGGTAATTTATTTTTGTCCTTTATGGTTAGCCTTTTGTGTGTCCTATCTGAGAGAATTTCTCCTGCCCTAATGAAGAGATCATGGAATATCATGAAGAGGTTTTCCTGTGTTTTCTTTGAAGGTGACTAATGTGTATGGTGTGAATCAAGTTAGCAATTGAGGTTTTTTGTTTTTTTTTTTACCGTAATATTAAATTGGCTCAGAACTATTTATTGAGAAGTCCATACTTAAACCTATGCCATTAATCATAGGATTATATAAGTGTGGATCTGTTTCTAGGCCATACTCAAGAAGAAGTTAATTTTTAAACTAAATCACAAGAATTCCCTCAAGAAATGCTACTTTCCTCAAGTAGCATTTATTATATTCTTATTATGAACTATGCATCATTCTAGGCATTTTAGCTGCATTGTTTCATTTTAAACCTCATAACCCACTATGAGATAGTTATTACTATTATCTCCATTTTATAGTTGAGGAAATAAAAACTTAATTAAAAACTTGCCCATGATCTCCTAGCTAGTAAGTGACAGAGACCTAACTTGATTGTGGGTCAGGCTGATTTTGAAGTGGAGTTCTTTATTATGCTGTTTCCCAGAGCAGCATTTTTTTTCTGGGGGTGGGAGGAAGGGTGGCAGGGAATAAGGGTGTGTGTGTGAGAGGAGGGTGATGGCGTGGAGTGGGGACCAACTTCCCTCACCCCCACCACATACCTATCGTAGTATTTTGTTGCTTTATTTGAGTTATATAACATTGGTGTCCATGTAAATTTTCATATTCATTAAAATAGAACATTTTATAGATTGGGAACCATAGGTTCATGCCATTTACCAGGCACTTCATATATGATAGAATATTTTTTTTTTTTTTTCTATATATTCGTTCTTTCTTACTAGTCAGCCTTTGAGAGTAAGGAGTGACTTTTACATATTTGTAACCCTGATGATTATGACAGTTCTCTGTCCAGAGCAGGCCCCTAATAAATATTTGCAGTTTTTATAGTTGTTGAGCTGTAATTGCTAACTTGATATTGCCTGATCAGGTAGGTTGTCTATCCTGTATTAATTGTTTTTAGTTCAGATCATGTGATCTATCCCTAACATATATTTTCTATTTTCTCTCTTTCAATAACTGCTGCCTCAAAGGGAGAAATGCAAATCTTTGGCTGAATGATCTGGTAGCAACAGATCTGAAATTCTTAAAATGTTAGAACTAGAAGCTATTTCTCACACAGTTGGTGAGTTAAAAAGAGAGAGAGAAAGAAAGAATTTGGGGCTTCCCGGTGGCACAGTGGTTAAGAATCTGCCTGCTAATGCCAGGGGACACGGGTTCAAGCCCTTGCCCGGGAAGATCCCACATGCCGCGGAGCAACGAAGCCCGTGCGCCACAACTACTGAGCCTGTGCTCTTGAGCCCGCGAACCACAACTACTGAGCCCGTGTGCCACAACTACTGAAGCCCACGTGCCTAGAGCCCGTGCTCCGCAACAAGAGAAGCCACTGCAATGAGAAGTCCGTGCACCGCAAGAAGAGTAGCCCCCGCTAGCCTCAACTGGAGAAAGCCCGCACGCAGCAAACGAAGACTCAATGCAGCCAAAAATAAAAACAAATATGTAAATTTAAAAAGAAAGAATTTGACAGAGAGAGAGCCACAAAGAGAAAACAGGGTCTTGTAGAGAATCAAGTATTCCCAGTTTCTAGACCCTCACCAGGCCTGCGGCTCTGAGTTCTGTGCTTCTATTTCTTACGTGCAAAATGGGGCTAATAACACTGCATGCAGCACAGGCTTGTTGTAAGAGGAAAATGAAGCAACAGACAAAATATGTTAAGAATGGTAGAAAATGCTATTAAAGGTCACATATTGGTAGAAAGGAAATGAATACCAGGTACAAGTGTGTTTGGTTTTATCAATAATAAATAAAAGAACAGAATAGATATTTTAGATATTTACTAAAAAAGGAACTGCTTGACAAAATAATTCAATATAGTATAATGTTAAATCGTGAGGCTTCCTACTGCTTTAAATATTTTAATAAACGTTTTTACTGAAGTTTAATCTGATTGCATTTTGAAATAATTGAATTTACAATAATTTAACTTACAGATTTTTAAAGATCATATTTACTGCATTGGGTAAAGCAGGTTGTATCTGTAATTTACTGTCAGGGATAGAAGGAGGGCTTGAACTGGTAGATATTTTTATCTACTGTTTGGTGCAAAAGATGTAAAATGAGTGTTACGTGCTACGGTTTTCACTAAAATGAGCCCGCTGTGAAAGTCAGTGGCGTGCCAGTTCAATTCAACAAATATTTAATTAGCGCTTTTGATTTCCAGGGAACCGTGTTGGGTACCGAGGAGGAAGCAAAGATGAATAGCATCAGCCGGAGGGAGACACGACACGAACCCAGTAACTAGGCTGTAAAGCAGAATGGGGCATCATAATTTAGAAAAGGTAAAACACAGGGAGAACCCGGCAGAGCTTAAAATAATTTAACTTTTCCTGCCTGCATTTTTTTTCTTTCCTTCTTTCTTTTTCTTTTCTTTCTTCTTCTTCTTTTTTTTTTTTTTTAGTAACTATTGTGGATCTTTTTCACCTGTGCCAAGTCACTTGTCTGCAGAGGATTCGCGACCCTGTGAAATCGCTCCTATTCCCTCTTCAGCCTCTCCTCGCATCTTCGATGAGCTCCTCTGCCACCAGCACTGCATTTGGAATGGCATCTACTGTGTGGGTGGTGAAGCGATGGAAAGCTATTTCTGTTCTAATTATGAGAACTGTTTTATTGGGAGGAGTGGGGCAGAGAGAGGAGAGGCAGATCGGAGACTGAGACGCTCAGCAAGGTTGCTCCGAGGAGGCGTTTCTAAGGTTACTAGAAAGAGGACGGCAAGTGATATCCAGGCAGGGTTTTTTCTAAAACGAAATAAAATTTCAAACGAGGGGCGTGGGCTTAGTATGAGCTGTGCCACACGAGATTAAATGTTGGGCTTCCCAGAGGGTAATGGAAGAAGGCCCAGGAAAAAACCGAGCGCGGCGACTTTGGTAAAGCTGGGAGCCTCCACCTTCCCTTCCGGCCCTGTTCTCCCGCGGCCTTCGTTTCCCGGGGCTGTTTTGGCTGTAACACAAAGTCGGCGCGCCCGGGAACGGTGTCGTTTAAGTGAGACGCGCGGCCGAGCCGGACCGGAAGCAGCGCAGAGCTGGGACCCGTAGGGAGAGGCGGGGAGCGGGCGGCGGCGGCCGTTGTGGCTCTGGCAGTGGCGGCGACTGTGGTTAGGCTACGCAGCCGGGGCGACGGGTCTGGTGCCGCAGCAGCTCACTCAGGCCGTGGGTCGTCGCTGCAGACGCGGGCAGAGGAGGGAACAACGACTCAGCGGGAGCACTTGGCAGAGGAGGGGAAGGGGTGTGTGAGAAGGGCCTTGAGTGCTTGGGGTCGGGGAGAAAGATCTCGAAACTTGTTTCTCATATGCTACTAGTTGATTTTTGTTTTTTTTTTTGATGGCAGATTCAGAAGACACCCCGCGTCTCCCTTCTCGAATTTCTCTTGGTTCCTGTCAGTTGATTCGTAGCCTGAAGTGAGTGAGAACTTTTTAATGCAACTACTGAATTCAGATGGGTATGGGATGGACGAGAAAAAAACGAGACGGGGGGCACAAGGGTAGGAGGTGGTGTCCCAGGGTGTAGGAACATCATGACGGTAATAGTAGTTAAAATTGGGAGGGTTGTACTGTACCAGACGTTGTTCTAAAACCCTTTATACGCGGTAACTCATTTAATGCCCAGTTCTGTGAGACCGGTACTTTCTTTCATTAGCCTCCCTTTATGGAGGGGGAAACAGGCTCCTAGAGGTTAAGGAGCATGCCCAAAGAAAGACATGAAACGTGCAGAGCCAGCGTTTGCATTCTGTCAGGCTGACCCCAGAACTTATCTCTAAGCTCCCCACAGTGGTTGTCCCCCATCAGAATGTGAAGAAAGTGAGGACATAAGACAAGGTGTGAGAGGCTGGTATGGTTTGAACAGATGTGATAAAACAGCGGAAGCAAGGAGTTGACATGATAAAAAGGTGTGCGATTCAGGTGTGACTTAGTGAGAGTAGAGTTGAAAGTGGCCTAAACCTTCGCCTCAACCTTGGCTGGGGCCCGCCTCTCTCGAATTCTGTGGGGCAGGGAAGAGAGATATGCACCCATACACGTAAGTTTGAAAATGGAATTATGAAGATCACAGACTCATAGGATTTAAAGATTGTTTGATGTAGCCACCTTATTTAGCAGATATAGTCAAATAATCCATCCATCCGCCATTAATGTATATCCCAAATTCTATGTAATGCTGAAACCAGGAGCTGCTTTCTAACACAACTGAGTGACAATTGAGATCTTTCAGTATTTCTAAGAATTTTGATTTAAAAATGAATAGAAACAAGATAAAGTTATCTAGAACAAAAGACAAGGTGGTTTACCTTGAAGAAACTGTTTCAAAGAAAAAGGAAATCTTGAAAGAAGATAGGAAAATTTTTATCAGTTGATCGTACTGTTCACAAATCCATTAAGTCTAATGGAATACAGTAATCAAAATGTTAGCATATTCCAGAGAGTCAGTTTGTAGTAGTTGAGATCATGGGCTTAAGAATCAAGTAGATCTGCTTAACCACATATTTGCTCTGTATAATTGATTTACTTAACTTTGTCCTTGATTTCTTTATCTCTAAAATGAAGGTAGTAGTTCCTAACTTGCAGAATTAGAAGCAGTGTTTGTAAAGAACCTAGCATAATGTCTGGAACAAAGTTGATAAATACCAGCAACCATTATTACTCTGAATCAAATAAAAGTAAAGCATTGCTGAACCTTGTATGCAGTGACATGGCAGCTTCTAGACCTGGTTTTACATGGAAAGGTCAAAGAGTAATCTCCCTTGTTGGTAATTAAAGTGAAAAACATTGATTCATTTTCTGAAGGGTAAGTTTGTTACTTCAAAGTAATTGAAAGTTTTAGATGGCTAGATAACCCCTGATATGCCCAGCACAATCCTTTAAAACTATTGTGGCTTTTAAAGATAACTTATTTTTGAACTATTCTGTTTCCTGAACTGTGGGCAATTTATACTCCTGACTATACTCCTTTACAGATGCATGGTCATGGAGGCTATGACTCTGATTTTAGTGATGATGAACACTGTGGAGAATCTAGCAAAAGGAAAAAAAAGTAAGTAATTTTTTATTGATCTCTGCTTCCGATCCTTTCTAAATTGAGATGAGGTATAAATAATATTTAAAGTTTTGGCATTGTGTTTACATGTGAAGACAGCGATGCTCTACTGAATGAATTTTTGTTTATTAAACTATAATGATTGACTCAAAAATTTGAGAACAGTTATGTAAAAGATAAGAAAGTAATGTTTATGCTGTGAAGGGATTTATGGAAAGGGACGCATAAGGAAAAAAAGGAAATCAGTTAAAGTTCTTAGATTTCTCTGTTGCATCTATTTTTCATTCAACTGTCAAGGACTCTACTTGCAACTGTCATAGCTAAGAAGGGGCTTGGTTGGTTGTCCCTTTGCTAGTACTTGACTGCAAAATGAGGATACTGTGGAGGATGAGATTGTGATGCAGCACAATTCTTAGGATTTTGTGAATGAGCAGACTAAGTGGCCAGAGGAAGGAGTTCATGGAAGTCTTTATTTAATGGAAGAGGTAAGAACTCTTAGCAGATAAAGCCTGAACCTTACAAAGGAGGCCAGATTTTGGTGGAGTAGCTGTGTTTAGGGAGGGGCATTGTTTTCAGCCTTCAGTGCTTAGAAACTTGATTTTATCCATTAACTTAGGAGTGGTTGACTGATTCATATTAACCAAACTTATAAAAATTGGTTTATTATTTGACACTGAAAACAATATATAAGCATACCAATTGGGGTTGAACATTTTTGTTGGGTACTCAGTCTTCATGGATAACCAAAAGAATAGAAATAATTATATAATGAATTACATTTTTATGTAATAAAATGAAATTAAAATGCTTTACATTTTCAAGGTTTTTCATTCAAAAATATTACTTTGTAAGAATAGAATTTGAGCCAATCTAGTTGGATAGTCTTGTGTGCTCTAGGATTATATCTATTTAAGTAACTAGGGCTGATCACCTAAAGTCTATATCATCTATAATCAGCCCTTCTTTTTCCGTTATCAGTTACTGAAAGCTTTGTTATCTCTACTTTGCAAACAAGGAAATTGTGGCACAAAAAGATTAAGTAATTTAAGATAAAGATAATGAATGACAGAGCCAAAATTTGAACCAAGGACCCCAGGTGGTGTGACACCAGAACCCATGCATTTGTTAGTCTCGTCTTCTCCATTTTATAGGTATTAAATAAAGTCAAGATATTAATTAAGCTGTTAAAGGAGATGTAAAATATCTCATTGAAGATCAGTGAGTCTTTAAGAGTTGAATTCTTTAAAACGTGTTCCAATTATGAAAATAATAAAGAAATAGGAAACACTGAGAAAAATGAACTCTTCTAATAATTTTTCTTCTTAACAAACCAGGACAGTTGAAGATGATTTACTGCTCAAAAAGCCATTTCAGAAAGAAAAACATGGAAAGGTGGTCCATAAGCAAGTTGCAGCAGAATTGCTGGATAGGTATGGTACTTCAATGTACATTACTTTTTTTTGGTTCGAGATGTTGGTGATTTGATTATATTAATTAAATATAGACATTTGAATTTGCTTGAAATAAAATTTTTCTTAACAGGGAAGAAGCAAGAAATAGAAGGTTTCATCTCATAGCTATGGATGCTGTATCCTTTTATATTTCTAGATTTTGTGACTAATACAACTTTTTAAATCTATTTTATTTCATAAAATCTTGTGAAGTCAGATAGACATAAATTTTATATTTAAAGATAAGTGTTTATTCATATGGAATTTTGCCATATATACTTCTGAGTACAATTCTCTTTTACTAATATACAAGAAAGATTTAGAGGCAAAAAATAATAAAAAACATATTACTAATCTTCTATAAATAGGTTTACAAAGTCCATGTACTTGCAGATATTTTTTCCAATCCATTTTTGTCAAGCTGTCAATATTTCTCATTTTTATACTATTATCTTCAGTCTCATTTTAACTCTTACTCTTTTCCTACCTGGTTCTTGGCTATTTAATGTCTTTGTAAAACTGTGTTTAATAATAGGTCTGTTTGATCATTAGAGAAATGCAAATCAAAACCACAATGAGGTATCACCTCGCACTGGTCAGAATGGCCATCATCAAAAAATCTACAGACAATAAATGCTGGAGAGAGTGTGGAGAAAAGGGAACCCTCTTGCACTGTTGGTGGGAATGTAAATTAATACAGCCACCATGGAGGTTCCTTAAAAAACTAAAAATAGAATTACCATATGACCCAGCAATCCCACTACTGGGCATATGCCCTGAGAAAACCATAATTCAAAAAGTCATGTACCACAATGTTCATTGCAGCACTATTTACAATAGCCAGGACATGGAAGCAACCTAAGTGTCCATTGACAGATGAATGGATAAAGAAGATGTGTCCCATATATACAATGGAATATTACTCAGCCATAAAAAGAAATGAAATTGAGTTCTTTGTAGTGAGGTGGATGGACCTAGAGTCTGTCATCCAGAGTGAAGTAAGAAAGAGAAAAATACTGTATGCTAACACATATATATGGAATCTAAAAAAAAAAGGTTCTGATGAATGTAGGGGCAGGACAGGAATAAAGACACAGACTAGAGAATAGACTTGAGGACACGAGGAGGGGGAAGGGTAAGCTGGAACGAAGTGAGAGAGTGTCATGGACAAATATACACTACCAAGTGTAAAATAGGTAGCTAGTGGGAAGCAGCCTCAGCCCAGGGAGATCAGCTCGGGGCTTTGTGACCACCTAGAGGAGTGGGTTAGGGAGGGCGGGAGGGAGATGCAAGAGGGAAGAGATATGGGGATATATGTATACATATAGCTTATTCACTTTGTTATACAGGAGAAACTAACACAGCATTGTAAAGCAATTATATTCCAATAAAGATGTTAGAAAAAATAAAAATGAAAAAAAAATAATAGGTCTGTTTGTGGACTGTCTCAGGCCTACTGTGGCTTCAGCTTTCAGGCATGAATTGGGGCTGTCTTTAAGTTATACCTTGTTTCCCTGTGATAGCCATCTCTCAGCTTAACTTTTTGGTAAGACTGTGGCTTATTACACAAGCCGCTACCACTGGCCATCCATATTACTGTTGGGAATATTGGAGAGTGAAAGTATTTCTGGGTATTTATTACTGCAGTCAGGATAAGGAGAAGGAGACGATGTCAATTAGATATACCCACTATCCTGTAGTCACCACTTTCACTTTATTGTTCCTGATCCTTTTCTTTAAGTTATAGAAGTTCTCTTGTCACCAATTTATTTATTCCTCTTATCTCCTAACCCAATAGCTTAGCTTTCCCATGGATCTCATCTGCCACTGCTCCTTTAGTATTTCAACATCTGCTCCTCCTTCTATCACACCACTCAGTTGGGGGTGTTGGGGCATCTAGTTACAGCCTGGTGAGGGTGAAAGTCTAGATCCCCTTTTCTTGCATGGCTGGAGGTGGGGCCATAGATTTTCTGGAGTGTTTGGCTGGAATAGAGTAGTTACTGCCTAAAAGTTATCTTTCCTGTTAGGCTGCCTCTCTCCTGATTATTTTGTTACAGGGAACAGACTTTTGTTGGCACTTCTTTTGTCTGTGCTTGTTGGTATTTCCAGCTATCCAGCTTCTTCACCTCCAAGTCTGGCATTTATTAAGCAAAAAGAAAACGTGGGGAACTCAGCACCATGTCATACCATGGGTCCTGAGGTCCGTAGCTGGTCTGCCTTCTTCTCTCTACCTTTCAGAGTCTTCTTATGTTTGTTTTATATATAATTTCCAAGGTTTTTAGTTCTCAGTGGGAGGAATAGGGAGAAGTGCAGTTGACCCTTGAACAACACAGGGTTTGAACTGTGAGGGTCCACTTATACAAGGATTTTTATTTTACTATATTACTTGTGTAAATATGGGTATTTATTTTACTGTAGTACTAATGATCTGCAGTTGGTTGAATCTACAGATGCAGAGGGCTGATTATACATTATGTGCAGGTTTTGGACAATGAGGAGGGTGGGTGTTCTATCCACCCTGTTCAGGGATCAACTGTACATCTTTGCTGCATCTTCCAGGAAGCAAAGTCCCACCTATCACCTGCTTTTGTAAATAAAAGTTTTATTGGAACACAGCTGTGCTCATTCATTTAGGTGTTATCTGTGCCTACTTCCATGCTAAAGTGGCAGAGGCGAGTAGTTTTAACAGACCGTATGGCCTGCATATTTACTATTTACACGAAAAGTTTGCTGACTTGAGCTCTTGAAAGATTTAAGTGACTTGCCAGTGTCACATGACCAGTTTGTGGTAGACCAAGAGCTAGAATCCAGATCTCTGGGTATCTGGCTTTTCTCTTTTTTCTTTTCTGAAATGTTAATTGCTTTCTTGCTCGTTTCAGAATTATGTTTTGATTCACTATTCTGCTCAAACACATTGTGATCAATTAAATAACTGTTTGTCTTTAATATAATAGGCTGTAGTCACAGACAATATTATGTCAGTTCTGTTATGTGTGTGTTCCGCTCTAGAGAGAGTACCATGGAGCTTTTTAAAACAAGTAAAATGCTCATGTGTCTCATTGTATTGCACTGAAAACATGACTGTAGCTTCATGTGATCTCTTATATTTACTTCTTTTTGAAAGCCTCATGTTAGGATTTAATATAATAAAAGTTGCATCTTCTATTTTGGAGGCTTTATTGTTACTGAAAAAGCTAAATTATATTTTATAATGAAGAAAAATTCTACTCCTCACCTTTAACTTTGGAAACTATAATTTGTTATAGTTATAGGAAACTATAATTTATAGTTATAGGAATAACTATAATATATAGTTATAGGAAACTATAATTTGAAACTATAAAATGAGTGGTGGTGTGAGGCTGTATATAGGAGGCTGTCCTTCTCTCCAGAGAGTTATTGCTTGAAAATGTTCAAAACAATATAGAGTATTCAGTAGGAAGTGAAAGCCCCTCTACTGTACTGTGTTCACTCTTAACAGTTTAATATTTACCCTTTTAGATCTTTTTTTAATTTATAAGCATGTATAGTATATATTTGTATATTTTTAAAAAACTAAATAGACTCATACTATGTTTTTTTTCCCTACTCACTAATTTGTCATTGACACCCAACTACTGAACAAATAAAATCCTTAATTTTTTGCATTTCAGTATCAAAGGCATACAAAGTTTGTAAATGACTATATTTTATACTATGGTGGCAAAAAAGAAGACTTCAGGCGATTGGGGTAAGTGTCCTAAAGTTTATTTTACATAATGGGAGGTAGGTATGGGTATCTTTGAAGACTCACAGCTACTATATCTTCTGATTCTGTCATGTTCTCCTGCTTTCCATTCCAGTTTTGTTGTTATAAGGTGGAGAGGCCATTCGAAGCTTCTAGCTAAGCAACTCATCATGAACCCCATTTCTCTGGCAACAGGCCTCAGGCAGCCTGCTGATTCTGGCAATAACAGGATTGTGTGAGGAATACTCACGTGCCTGATTATGCAGTGATTTTTTTTTTTCCCCCCACAAGGATCTTTGAAATAATGAACTCTTTAGACCTCAGGTTTGGGATTGCTTTTTAAAAGATAGGACAAACAAGAGACCTCACTCTAATATTTCCCACACATGAAATTCCTTCTTATATCTGAAGCTCTTCTGTCAGAGCCTCTTGGTTTTGTGTGGGTTTTTTTCTCTTTACTTAACGATTTTCCGAGTTGATAGTGCCCTAAAAAACTTCATACCAGCTCATCAGCCCCAAACTTAACTCTCCTCTGAATTTAGCCTGTATTTCTCAACAATCCCTTCTTCTGTCCCCAATCTGTTACCATCTTGAAAAATCATCTCCTTCAGTTCTCTTCCTTACTCAGTCTTCCTAGGAAGATGTAGTAAAATGAGGTGTGAAAAAATTTTTTATATATTTTTAAAATTAGATCACAATAGGATGGTGTTATTTTAGATTCTGAAACTTATTTTCATTCATCTTCCTTATCCATTTAGTGTTCATTCAGATTTCTCATCCTAGTTTTGGTAATTTAGCACCCTTTATATAATTGAACCAGCTCTAGAGATGGGTGGATTCCTTATCCATTTGTTTCTGTAGCAGCACTCTTTATAACTGCCTTTTGAAAATACTGAAATACTTTTTATAAATATACATACATACGTACATATAAAACTATCTTTGTGTATCTTATTTTTACTCAGGTGCTCAAAAATCTCACACACTGTTTAACTTAAGTTTGACTAATTTTGTTTTCATATTGAATTTAAAATTGTTTTATTTCAGGGAAAATGACAAGATAGACATGGATATTATACGAGAAAATCACAGATTCCTATGGAATGAGGAGGATGAAATGGACATGAATTGGTAATTGTACCCGTGTGAGACATAATGCATCAAATGCTATAGTCCTATCTCTCCTGCTCCCTGAGTGTTTTCTTGTTTTGTCACCTGTCCAAAGCATTTGGCCCCTGCATGGAGCAGTTCTGAATCGAGAACATAAAACCGTGCCTCAGATTATTGAATCTGGTTTGATTCTTTTGGTAATTTTTTACAATTTTAACTGACTTCTTATTGCTTGACTTTGTCTTTAAAAAATAATTTATAAAATTTTTACAGTATTATTTGTTGTCTAGTAGTACGCTTCTTTTTAAATTTTAAAAATATTTTGGGAAAACGTAAAACCTGAAAATGGTTTTAAAAATTCAAACATTACAGAGGGTAAAAAGTGAAGAGTCAGTCTCCTTCTCATCTTTGACTATTAGTCTTCCAGCTTCCCTCCCTAGAGACCCACTATTAATAGTTAATATTCAGATATTCTATGCACATGTAAGTAATGACCTCTTTTAAAACATTAATGTTTATATCATATGCGTTATTTATTTGACATTGCCTCCAAGTAGCAAACAATGGTTGAATTTCTAAATATGTAAGATTTATATATTTTTAATGAATCTAGGGAGAAGAGACTTGCAAAGAAATACTATGATAAATTATTCAAGGAATACTGCGTAGCAGATCTCACCAGATACAAAGAAAATAAGGTATGCCTTCCAGATACTTATAGAAGAAGGTTCTTATTCACGTATAGTATTACTTTTTAATATACTATTGTGCCCTGTATTATTCTTTTAAGAATAATTCAATTCTAAGTTGTCCTCCATCTATGAAGTATCAGTTGGACCATTTAAACTCGATAGCTGTGGAATTTACAAAGGGCCCTGAAGTCAAGGGTGACTCTTTGTGAGCTGAGACATGAAAAGTCTAAAATGAAACACAGGTGGCTACTGAATCTTGTTTTATCCTGACTCTAATCCAGAGCCTCTAGTGATTATGATTTGACACTTTGAATGATGTCTTCTTTCACAAATGATGTTTGAAATTGATAGGCTTTTTTTTTCAAATGGATTACCATATAAAGAGGCAGATGCACATCTTCTGTTATGTAAATGTCTATTCTAGTAAAAATAGCTCTTATCAGTGCCAATTAGTAATGGCAAATTTCCCTTCCCGCTTTACATCTTACTTTAATTTTTTTTAAATTAATTTTATTTATTTTTGGCTGCATTGGGTCTTTGATGCTGCATGCAGGTTTTCTCTAGTTGTGGCGAGCGGGGGCTACTCTTCGTTGCAGTGCACAGGCCTCTCATTGTGGTGGCTTCTCTTGTTGCAGAGCATGGGCTCTAGGCGCACGGGCTTCAGTAGTTGCAGCACGCAGGCTCAGTAGTTGCGGCACATGGGCCCTAGAGCACATGGGCTTCAGTAGTTACAGTGTGTGGCCTCAGTAGTTGTGGTGCGCAAGCTCTAGGGCGCGCGGGCTTCAGTAGTTGTGGCATGTGGGCTCGGTAGTTGTGGCGCACAGGCTGTAGAGCGCAGGCTCAGTAGTTGTGGCGCACGGGCTTAGTTGCTCCGCAGCATGTGGCATCTTCCTGGACTAGGGATCGAACCCATGTCCCCTGCATTGGCAGGCGGATTCTTAACCACTGTGCCACCAGGGAAGTCCTATTTTAGTTAATGTTAAAGTGATTTTTAAAAAATGGAAGTAGAGTTGATTTACAATATTGTGTGTTTCAGGTGTATAGCAAAGTGATTTGGTTATATATATTTTTTCCTTTTTTTTGATGCTTTTCCATCATAGGTTATTACAAGATATTAAATATAGTTCCCTGTGCTATCCAGTAAATCCTTGTTGTTTATATTATATATGGTAGTGTGTATTTGTAATCTCATACTCATAATTTATCCCTCCCTCCCATATTCCCCTTTGGTAACCATACATTTGTTTTCTGTGTCTGTGAGTCTGTTTCTGTTTTATAAATAAGTTCATTTGTACTATTTTTAGATATCCACCTATAAGTGATATCATATACTTGTCTTTCTCTGTTTTACTTAGTATGATCTTTTCTGGGTCCATCGATGTTGCTGCAGATGGCATTATTTCATTCTTTTTTGTGGCTAAATAATAGTCCATTGTATATATATATCACATCTTTTTTATCCATTCATCTGTCGATGGACACTTAGGTTGCTTCCATGTCTTGGCTATTGTAAATAGTGCTGCTATGAACGTTAGGGTGTGTGTATCTTTTTGAATTAGAGTTTTCGTCTTTTCCAGATACATGCCCAGGGGTGGGATTGCTGGATCATATAGTAACTTTATTTTTAGTTTTTTGAGGAACCTCCATACTCCATACTGTTTTTCCACAGTGACTGCACCAATTTACATTCCCAACAACAGTGTAGGAGGGTTCCCTTTTCTCCACAACCTCTCCAGCATTTATTATTTGTATACTTTTTGATAATAGCCATTCTGACTGGTGTGAGGTGATACCTCATTGTAGTTTTGATTTGCAGTTCTCTAATAACTAGCAGTGTTGAGCATCTTTTCATATGCTTGTTGGCCATCCGGATGTCTACTTTAGAGAAATGTCTATTTAGGTCTTCTGCCCATTTTTTGATTGAGTTTTTTGGGTTTTTTTTATATTGAGCTGTGTGAGCTGTTTGTATATTTTGGAAATTAAGCCCTTGTTGGTCTCATCATTTGCAAATATTTTCTCCCATTCCATAGGTTGTCTTTTCATTTTGTTTATGGTTTCCTTTGCTCTGCAAAAGCTTTTAAGTTTAATTAGGTCCCATTTGTTTATTTTTGCTTTTATTTCTTTTGCCTTGTGAGACTGACCTAAGAAAATATTGCTACGATTTATGTCAGAGAATGTTTTGCCTATGTTCTCTTCAAGGAGTTTTATGGTGTCATGTCTTATATTAAAGACTTTAAGCCATTTTTAGTTTATTTTTGTGTGTGGTGTTAGAGTGTGTTCTAACTTCATTGATTTACATGTGGCTGTCCAGCTTTCCCAATACCACTTGTTAAAGAGACTGTCTTTTCTCCATTGTATATTTTTGCCTCCTTTGTCGAAGGTTAATTGACCATAGTGTGTGGGTTTATCTCTGGGCGCTCTATTCTATTCCATTGACCTGTATGTCTGTTTTGTGCCAGAACCATGCAGTTTTGATTGCTGTGGCTTTATAGTATTGTCTGAAGTCTGGAAGGGTTATGCCTCCAGCTTTGTTCTTTTTCCTCAGCATTACTTTAGCAATTCTGGGTCTTTTGTGATTGCATATAAATTTAAGGATTATTTATTCTAGTTCTGTGAAAAATGTCATGGGTTATTTGATATGGATCACATTAATCTGTAGATTGCTTTGGGTGGTATGGCCATTTTAACTATATTAAGTCTTCCAGTGCAAGAGCATGGTCTATCCTCCAATTTCATTGAATCATCTTCTGTTTCATTTATCAGTGTTTTATAGTTCTCAGCATATAAGTCTTTCACCTCCTTGATTAGGTTTATTCCTAGATATTTTTCTTTTTTTTTGGATGCGATTTTAAATGGGAATTTATTTTACTTTCTCTTTCTGATATTTCATTGTTAGTATGAAGAAATACAGCAAATTTCTGTATATTAATGTTGTATTCTGCTACCTTGCTGAATTCATATATCAGTTTTAGTAGTTTTTGTGCAGAATCTTTAGGGTTTTCTATATAGGGTATCATGTCATCTGCACATAATGACAATTTTACCTTTTCCCTTCCATTTTGGATACCTTTTATTTTTTTCATCTGACTGTTGTGGCTAGGACTTCCAGTACTATGTTGAGTAGAAGTGGTGAGAGTGGACATCCTTGTCTTGTTCCAGATTTTAGCAGGAAGGCTTTCAGCTTTTCACCATTTAGTATTATGTTGGCTATGTGTTTGTCACAAATGGCTTTCATTATGTTGAGATATGTTCCCTCTATACCCACTTCGGTGAGAGATTTTAATCATGAATGGATATTGAATTGTACCAAATGCTTTTTATCTATTGAGATGATCATGTGGTTTTTGTCTTTTGTTGATGTGATATATCAGATTGATTGATTTGCATATGTTGAACTATTCGTGTGACCCTGGAATGAACCCAACTTAATTATGGTGTATGATCCTTTTTATGGGTTGTTGGATTCGGTTTGCTAATATTTGTTGAGGATTTTTGCATCTATATTCATCAAAGATATTGACCTGTAATTTTCTTTTTTGTTAGTGTCTTTGTCTGGTTTTGGTGTCAGGGTGATGGTGGCTTCATAGGATGGCTTTGGGAGTGTTCCCTCCTCTTCAATCTTTTGGGAGAGTTTGAGAAGGATCAGTCTGAGTTCTTCTCACTATGTTTGGTGCAATTCCTCAATGAAGCCATCCAGTCCTGGACTTCTGTTTGCAGAGAATTTTTTAAATTACAGATTCTATTTCACTTCTAGTGATAGATCTGTTCAAATCATCTGTTTCTTCTTGATTCCGTTTTTACAGGCTATTTCTAGAAACTTGTCCATTTCTCCTAGGTAGTCCATTTTGTTGGCATATAACTGTTCATAATATCTTATGATTTTTTGTATTTCTGTAGTGTCAGTTGTTATTTCTCCCTTTCATTTCTTATTTTATTTATTTGGGTCCTCTCTCTTTTCTTCTTGGTGAGCCTGGCCACAAGTTTGTTGATTTTGTTTATCTGTTCAAAAAACCAGCTCTTGCTATTATTGATTTTTCTGTTGTTTTTTAATCTTTATTTTATTTATTTCTTCTCTGATCTTTATTATTTCCTTCATTCTGATGACTTCAGGTTTTATTTGCTCTTCTTTTTCTAGTTCTTTTAGGTGGTAGGTTAGGTTTTTTATTTGTGAGTTTTCTTGTTTTTTGAGGAAGGCCTGTATCGCTATGAACTTCCCTCTAAGTACTGCTTTTGCTGCATCCCATAGATTTTGTATGGTTGTGCTTTCATTGTTGTTGTCCCGAGATATTTTTTATTTCCTCTTTGATTTCATTGTTGACCCATTGGTTTTTAGTAGCATGTTGTTTAGTCTCCATGTAATAGTTTTTTTCCTCGTTTCTCTTTGATTTCTAGTTTCATGTGGTTGTGGTCAGAAAAGCTGCTTGAAATAATTTCTATCCTCTTAAATTTGTTGAGCCTTGTTTTGTGTCCTAGTATGTGGTCTGTCCTAAAGAATGTTCCATGTGTGCTTGAAAAGTATGTGTTTTCTGCTTTATTTGGATGTAGTATCCTGTAGATTTCAATTAAGTCTAACTGTTCTGTTGTGTCATTTGGGATCTCTGTTGCCTTATTGCTGTTCTGTCTGGAAGATCTGTCCATTGATGTGAGTGAGGTGTTAAAAGTCTCCTACTATTATTGTATTCCCATCAGTTTCTCCCTTTATGTCTGTTAGTATTTGTTTCATGTATCTAGGTGCTCCTGTACTGTGTGTGTATATGTTAACCAGTGTGATATCCTCTTCTTGTATTGATCCTTTTATCATTATATAGTGTCCTTCTTCGTCTTTCTTTATGGCCTTTGTTTTAAAGTCTGGTATGAGTATTGCTACCCTCGCTTTCTTGTCATTTCCATTTGCATGAAATATCTTTCTCCATCTCCTCACTTTCAATCTATATGTGTCTTTAGCCCTAAAGTGGGTCTCCTGTAGGCAGCATATTATAGGTTCTTGTTTTATTATCCAATCTGCC